GCCTTTACATGGCAGCATTAAGCGTCGAGCGTCTGCGCAGAAAAATGCGCAGAATTTAAAAGAGATAGATTCTAGGCTGAAATTAGATTCTGCGCAATTTTCTACGCAGACGCTCGACGCTTAACGCTGCCATGTAAAGGTACCTTTACGCGTGGCAGAAATCGTCCCGCGTCACAAAGCTGAGTATACTTTGCGCATGCGCACTACAATTATAAAATAAACTTATTTTGCGCGTAATTAAAAGAATTATCAATTCACAAATGTAACATTGGTATATTTGTAAATCACAAACGATTTTCTGTTGATTACATCAAACACACTTTTATAACTATATTATAACGGTTACATAACTCATCAGTGTAACCGAATATAAAAAGTAATATTACAGAATTGTAACATGTAATACGCTCATTCCTTGTAATTTCTCACTCAAGGAAGCAACAATGTTATATAGCAGTTATACATTTAATTGTAACACCCAGAAAACAATATGTAATCAAAAAGATTTCTAAAAGATATCGCATTTCTGAACCTGATAACTTAAAAAGGCTTCTAAGGGTGCCATTACATGGAGCGCGGAAACGCGGATTAGCGTAACGCGGAACGAGAATGGAACCAATCGCGAGCGTAACAAAAACTGCAGAATGCTCGCGATTGGTTTCACTCTCGCTCCGCGTTACGCTAATCCGCGTTTCCGCGCTCCATGTAATGGCACCCTTAGAAGCCTTTTTAAGTTATCAGGTTCAGAAATGCGATATCTTTTTGAAATCTTTTTGATTACATATTGTTTTCTGGGTGTTACAATTAAATGTATAACTGCTATATAACATTGTTGCTTCCTTGAGTGAGAAATTACAAGGAATGAGCGTATTACATGTTACAATTCTGTAATATTACTTTTTATATTCGGTTACACTGATGAGTTATGTAACCGTTATAATATAGTTATAAAAGTGTGTTTGATGTAATCAACAGAAAATCGTTTGTGATTTACAAATATACCAATGTTACATTTGTGAATTGATAATTCTTTTAATTACGCGCAAAATAAGTTTATTTTATAATTGTAGTGCGCATGCGCAAAGTATACTCAGCTTTGTGACGCGGGACGATTTCTGCCACGCGTAAAGGTACCTTTACATGGCAGCGTTAAGCGTCGAGCGTCTGAGGTGCCTTTACATGGCAGCGTCAAGCGTTGAGCGTCTGCGTAGAAAATTGCGCAGAATCTAATTTCAGCCTAGAATCTATCTCTTTTAAATTCTGCGCATTTTTCTGCGCAGACGCTCGACGCTTAATGCTGCCATGTAAAGGCACCTTAAACGCGTCGACGCACTCTCTGCAAGCAGGAGCCCTGAGTATGCGCATGCGCACTACAATTATAAAGTAAATTTATTTTGCATATAAATAAAAAATTTATCGGTTCACAAACGTAACATTGCTATATTTGTAAATCACAAACGATTTCCTGTCGATTATGGGACGTTTTGTGCTGTCTGGGTAGTTATCACAAAATATGTTTATTACTAAAAAGTGTCGGCTGACATCATAACTAAGCTAAAATTGTTAATTACAAAAAATCTAATTTATCACAAACGTTAAAAACAGACTCACAATCAATTACAAACGATTTACAAACAAAATATACTCAGAAAAGTAAAAAATAATCATATTTAGTAATTTCTGCCAGCTAGCTTCATATAGGTCACGGCATCGTCATACGAAATACTCCAAACGACTCCAACCCCCCTCCCCCCTCCATCAGAGTGCATTAGTTCTTTTTGTTTTTCGAGGCAAATATGAACCAACAAACGTTTTAATTAGTTTTTCTGTGACCAACAAACGATTGCGCATCGATTGAACTAAGTTTGAAACAAAAATATCTTTCCGGCTAACTTCACACAAAATTTTGTTTTTGTATTTTCAAAAAAAATATTAACTAACAAATGTTGTAATTAGGCCAACAATCACCAACAAACGATTCGTAAAAAAAAAATTACAAAAGTGAATGTTGACCGGCTAACTTTATGAAGCTCCCATATAGCAGTTATATTCTGGTGTTATATTGCATAAATAAGAAAGTTATATAATTCCAACATAAATTAGGTATAACAACCGTTACATTATATGTTATTCCCATGTTATATAGCAGTTATATTCTGTTTGCTGGGATTATTATAATATAAAGATAATTAATAATATGCATAATATATCTAGCATTTTGCTATCTGGGTTATTAATATAAAGATAATTAACAATATATATAATAATATTAATATCATAAAGATGTTTTAATATTTTGATTTATATAGATATTTTTTCCAGTATTTTACAAATAATTTAAGATAATAAAAAACGCTTGCATAGATATATCATCATATATCGTATCATATTACAGTTTCGTACATAAAGATCACGCAAATTTTCAAACGCGTTTTTTTGCGAATGCTTGAGAGTTGGAGTGGGAGGGTAGGACTATAATATATACCTCAAGCTCGGCGAAATCGGAGGGGACATAACTTGGTGTTCCCCTTGTTAGAAATGTACCCTCTACAATATATGTAAAAATGAAAACGATCCGTGATATGTAAGTTAATCCGAACATTTACCTATTTTACTACTTGACTTCAGAAGTTCATCACGTTTTACTCGAAAGAACAATCACAACATATTGAATGTAATGTAGCGCAGCCTAATCAATTATTTGTTACATCATTCTTTCCGAATTCATCGGACACCTCTCTCCCTGACTTATGTGTTGAAAGCTTATGTATCCTCCAGTAATTTTTTATCTCTATATTTTCAATATCCAATAATTTTTACCTTTATATTTTATATAGCTTTTGCTTCTTAAGCTTCTACAGAGCAGCTTTTTTAATATTATTAATTTTATGTATATGTATATATAAGTAAATCAACGTTTCCAAATATTATCCAACCATACTACTTTTTCTAATAGCATTTTCGAATGTAACAGGTTTAATCACTCTGAGAGCGATTAATGACGTCATTGCATCGTCTCTGCCAATAAAAGACTTGAATTCATAGTAAAATATAGTAATTAATTGATCCGGGTTAGATTATCCTGTTCATTCGAAAACACTATAAATAAAAATCTATAATGTATCAGTAACGTCACAGTGTCATTAATATGCCCCTAAGCAATATGCTAACTATCAATTGCCAAAGGCACATTTTAAACATTCTAAATATTTATAAAGAGAGAGCATATCCAAAGCTTATATATAAAATGCAAAAGTATTTGATATTCATATTAAAGTATACAAAAAAAGTTTATTGATATGAAGATATGTTTTATGTGCATATACATATATGCTTCTGTTTGTGTAAAATAAATTTTATATATATGAATAACACTTCTATGCTTATTCAACTGAAAACGATCGTATTTTTAAATATTGCTTACAATTGATCAAAAAGTAAATATGTTATTGGTACAATTAAGCCGGTTTTTGTCCACGTTGTAGCAAACATAACTTTAACCAACCACCAGATTAGACCTAACAAAGCAGCTTGCAAACCCAAATGAGCGATCATCAATCTGCAACATAAATTTACACCTATATTGATAACTAATAAATGTTGATACTACTTAAGAAATATGTTCATATGACATTTGCTTACATTCTATCTTTAGAACGTGCTTTCGGCAAAGATTTCGGTGACTCATTATGAAGGTACACTCTGACACCTTGTATCAAATCCACAAAATAGTCTTTCCAGATTAATGGCTTAATGTCTAATGTAAATAATTTTTGATCATCTGGGGATAATGACTCATGCAGTTGCAACATACATGGATTATTAAATCTCCATTCTTGGAAAATAAATTTCTCAAGACGTCCTAATGATTTGCTAACATTTGTATGTAAACGAACAAGACTGAAAAAAATAGAGTAAGCATATTAATTTTAAAAAAATTTTATGACGGGATATATTTTATATCTCTTCCTCTATCTCAAAATAAAACTTACATTGGACGGCCTCCACATACTCGTGTGATTGTATCCAAAATATAGGCAGGAATAAAATGAACAAAAATAGCCGAAATTTTAAACAAGAAAAGCGACGGTAAAAATTTGAGATATGGATACCAAACAGCACTTCGTAATGGATACTTATGTAAATACTTGTTAATTTCTTTTTCAACATTCTGCCATTTGAAAGCATTGCACGTACTAGATGTACAGTGATATACCTTTAATCCCTTGTCGCTAAAATTACATTATTTCAGAAATAAATATTAACATTAAATAACATCATACTATATTTTCATAAAATAAAAATGTATTAAATTTTTGTATCTAGTATTTTGTATTTTTGTATCTTGAACTACCTGTCTCGATCGACACTATAAGCTGCGACAATAAGGCTGTTCACTACTATATCTACTGGAATGTAATCATAAACAAGATTTTCTGCAACTGGCAATCTTCTCACAATACCCTTACTGGCACCCATTATGAAACCCTGTGGTCCATTTTTCGATATTGTCCATCCTGGAATCGGCTCTTTCCATGCTCCTATTACTAAATGTATAAAATTAAGTTTATAATTTCAATATAAATAATAACACAATATATGTTGGATATATAAGCCTAAATTTACTCATTGAAGGGCGCACAATAGATGCTGAAAGTCCTGCATTTGCTACTTCATGTTCAGCCAGATGTTTAGTGAATGTATAAGGATTTGGATGACCATTTAATATCTCTGGTGTTTTTGCATCTAAGGTAGCAGCATCCAACGTATTAATCAGTTTCAGAACTGTATTTACATCTGCAGGTGCAGGATATACTATCTCATCTACATTATGCAACATTGAATTAACATATGCACTAGAAACATGCACCAGCACCTGGTAAATAATAAATATCAAATATAGAAGCTATAAAATATTCAGATAGATTTATTTAAGGAATGCGTAAACGCAAAGTTTGTTGTTATAAAATATCTCTTTATCTATTGTGAATATTGTTTTTTACCTTAAAGTTCTTAATCTCCTGGCAAAGTTCAACGACTCTACGAGTTCCTAACAAATTAATGTTTGTCGTATTCCTCAGATCGGCTTCAAAGTCTAATGTAGCAGCTGAATGAAAAACAATTTGTACTGTATTTATCAAAGTTGTTCGATCTTGTGAGGACAGTCCTAAATTTTCTTCACCAACATCTCCACCAACTGCGATCAGTTTCTTAAATAAATCAGTTTGCTTTTCCTCCCTCAATCTATTAAAAACCTATATACAGAAAAGAAAATTAAAATACATTAAAATATAAAAAATAAAGGTAATTATTCAGTTTAGCAGCCCCATCCCAAATATTGATAAAATTATGCTCATTCGACGAGTTTTTGTACAAAACAAAAGAATATAGAGATATTTATAATCAATATTTGAGGTGAGATTGCTAAACTGAATAATTAACAAAATAAAAACAAATGTACATATATATAAATA